CCCTCACACTGTATGTCCCATTCGACTACTTCCCCAGAACTCACCTCACCTTTTTTTCTAACTTCGTCTTAGAAACACTCTTCTGTTCCCCCCCCCCCTCTCGACTTTTTTCACTTTGATGTTCCTTCCCCTCTGTGAAGCCTGAAGTCAACTAAAGGGCTAATGATAACTATCAAAACACCTGCCATTTGATATAAGTAAATAACTGGGATGATAAAACCACTTAAATAACCCTCTACAACACCAGATTAACGACCCGCTGAGTTATAAACGCCTCCGATAACTGTTCAAAATGAGCCCCTGTTTACGTTAATTACCCTCATCACTACCAACTTGTTGTGAGGTTTGAAGGGCGACAGGGATAGCCGCCACTAATAAGGAACTCAAATTCAGCTTCCATACTTCTTATTATCCTGACGTAAACCGCGTGGTTGACCATTCTGCTTACCTCGTGTGAACGGGTGAACACACCCGACGAGCACTTTAGTCTTGAGATATCTGCATGAGGATATTCGCCAATGGGAACTCAAATGGCCTAATGCGTCATGGGCAAACGAACTAACAAACAAGGTAGTGAGCAATTGTCCTAAACACCCTTTAATCCAAAAATTTCAAAAGGCAGTTTACATGGCTCGAGTTAAGACTTCCAATTCTACACTTTGGCTTTATTGTTTTGTCTAACTATAACCTTGTGTTGCCAAAAGGACAATAGGTCATTTAAATGTGACTTCCAATACTCACTTGAGAATAGCGATCAGATGATACTTGATTGATCGTCCACCACTAACAGCATGGTGTTTACTCATATCTGCAGTAACTACAGCGTAACCCGAATCCATTTCACCCTTCTTCAGAGCCAATCGGATGGCGCTCAATTGGAAACGCGCACGTAGAGGTTCACCCCTCATTGGTGGGATTAGAACCCTGGAACCAGTGTTGAGAACACTCAATTCATCAAGTAAGGACTGCCGACGTTGACCTAAAACGCAGAGTGAGGCAATTTATGATGCTGGGAAATAATAGCACTGATAATTAATAGAAAGTAGTTGTGAACTTACAAGCTAGGAGAAACTGCAGATTAAGACCAACCAATGCGCTTTCATCTACGGGTTTGGAGGTATTGTGCTTTGACGACTTTTGTGTTGAGGCTTTAAAATTCGATTGAAGTTCACTGAGATTGGAACTCAACTCCATAATAAGCACTTTCTCCTTGGCTAACAGATCAGAAATCTCCATTATACGTTCCATACGACGAAGTGAGGCGGCCTCTTCAGCTTCCGCAATTTCTAAACATGGAATTTGGAAAATTTTGACTAAGCATACGCATAGTATGCATGCGTCCCTCCCACCCCCCACCCCCCACCCCCTCCTCCCCACGCTTGTCTGATTTTCGAAATGAAACAGCATCTCTAAATAGAAATCAGTAGCATACCAGTATTTCTCCTCGATAGTCCTTTATTCTGTGTAATGGGAGTGGGCGGACAATCAAAATCAAGCAGTGCTGAGGCATCTCGACTAATTCTTCTTGATCCAGCATCTCCCGATCTCCGACCCTTTCCAGGCGACATTGCAGTGAGAGACGTTTTCGAAGCCCGTGCGGACATAAGAACACCGGAGGAGCAAGAGGCAATAGGTTCTGAATTCACTGAATCGCTATCACTAACCTCTTCATCACTTGCTAGAGACGTTAAATCATCATCATCACCTAACATTGGATCACAACAGTCATCGGTCAAACGGTCATCATCAGTTGCACAGAGTGCCTCTGTCGTCCCTATAGCAGAGGCGGCTGCCAATGAAGATCGTCTACTGTCCTTACTTTGTCGTCGAGAAGCTCTCTCAGCAGAATTCGCCAGTCTTGCAGCACTCTCCAATATTCCAATCGATTCAGCGTCCATGTCAGTATAAGCAACAACGCTATTCTTCATAGAATAGGAAGGAGAAGTGTGAGAGTAGGAGGATATCAACTCATCTGACCCACCCCCCTCAGTATCCTCCTCGTACTCTGTGTCACCCGGAGCTGATCCTGGTTCGGGTTCGAAGGTGACGGAGCGTTGACGTGGGAGGTCTGAGGCGGAATGAGTGGCGGACGGGACAAACTTAGAGGGACTCTCGTTGAGATTGGTTGAATTGGGCCAGTTTCGAAGGACGCCTCGACAAAAAGGGCCTGTTGCACCACCTGAAGTAGAGGCGGTAGTTGAGTGGAGAGCAGATGCTCCCAAACGCGGACGCTTGTAGTAACTGTGGGAGATTTTCGGCTGAGCGGTACTTGGCACTTCGGGAACTAGAATGAATTAGTTAACCTAATTAAGCGACCGAAAATCTGGCAAGCTATTGTGATTTTGACAAGCCATAGGGAAAGGACTGATGCAACAACCCAACTGAACATCTTCAACAGGTAATAATTTTAAAAAAATAATAAGTCAACAGATGTCAAGGTTTTCATTTTATTAAATAAACCTCCCACTTTCTCCTAAGGAATAAAATGCGATTTATAATTTTTTTGATCTAACTCTGCGCTTCAAGGTGGGATCATGTCCATGACATTTTCAGGGCTTATAAATCAATTCAATTACCTCAATTGTTAGCCATAGAAATTCGATGAAGCTGTACCCTTAAAGGTGACAGGATTCAATTTTCAAAAGTCGCCATGCAATCATATCCGTCTACCCAAGACAAATGGGCATATGATGAAGTGAGTGTGAATCCCAGAGCACGAAAGTCGACAAGCGCTGCTATCTCCACCCAATCATCTTCAAAGCCAATTACACACACACAACATAACGGAGAAGACGCTACCAAAAAAATCTCAACCCATGGAAACAAAGAAGTGTCAATCGCAACCCTGATTCAACTGATTTCTAGACTGAAATACTCAGTCTTTACTCTTTCATTTCCATGATAAATTAAATATTTATGAATGGAAATGAAACTTTGATTGACTAGTATTACCTAATGAAGATAAGCAGAAAAGGTTTCTAGTGTTTAGCAATGTAGGGCAACAGAAACGACTTCACTGTTATACACACGTGTGTGCAAATCAATTGGGATTGCAGGATTTTCGCAACATTTCAAAGTGGTGGTTTAAGTAAATAATTTTTTGTTATTTGCCGTGCAATGCCCCTCTTTTATCGCAATAAAATAAACTTTCGATGACTCTAATTCACAATATTAACGGGAAAAAAGAACCCTGTGATAAAAGCAAAGGTTTATGAATGTTAATTTAAAAGGTAATACAGTGTAAAGGAAGTCTCGTGTCCAGGGGGGGGGCTCTTGTGGGATCGCGTATTATTATGTACTAATCACTCTTAACTGAACAAATAACAAAAAAAAGACTTTTTTCATCACATGAGACTACCTTTCCCTTGACCACCTTGAGCCAGAGTGAGAGCGAGTAATGGATGATTTCAGCCAATTAAAGTACTGACCCAAAACATCTTCAAAGCCTGTAGACGTTTGGAAAGAAGACTGACTGCGTTTGGAAACGCTAGCGCAGAAATAAACAATGACAAAGCAGAAAAGTTCAACAGAAGAGCCAAGAGCCTATTATACTCCAGAGAATAACCTAACAGTTCTACGAGGCTAATCCACACTAATTAGTTCAAAAACTTGAGACAACAAGAAATAACCTAATAACGCAACTCAGCGAAAAATTAGTAAAAAACGTAATTAAGTCAACTAATAGAAATCCTAACAGTGCATTTCTAGATAGAATGCCTTAACCAAAGAATAAAACGTCAATTTTCCTCAGCTCACTAGGTGATGGCAAAATGGAATGCAAATTTGAAGTCATTAACTTAAAACAAACTAAAAGAGAAGAGGACAAGGAAGATAATAACAGAACATCACACACACAAGGAAGCCAACAGTAGTAAGTTAACTTACCGAAATATTGGCCTTTTGGAGACTCTGGGGCGTCAATAAAATCCATCGATTTGGAATGAACGTCCAATTCAACACCATTCTCATCCATATCAAATTCTGTAGGTGGTGGTGGAGGCGGTGGCAGGTCAGCTGAGGTATCTTCCGGAGAAATCTCTGTCATGACAGCTGATTCCCCTTGTTCTACGGGCACTGGAGAGGGAGGAGACTAAGAATGGGAGAAAGAAACAAGTGATTTAGAAATACGAACAAGTTCTCTATTCCATAGAGAATTGAATCCGCCCATCTACTAAATAAGAAGTCATGAGATCGATGCTCAGTTGCGTCCGCCCAGTGGCGTAGGTGATCGATTCCACTGGCTAAATCTAGTCAAAAAGGGGTACAATGACTGGGACATTTCCCCGTTGGCGTCAAAAACAATAGTAAGTAGTGACTTTTACACTCAGAAATTTAAAGAAAAATTGTAGTTCTGGAATAAATTTGAGATATAACGCTTAGGATAGCGTAATGGCGGGAAAACAGTAGCACGAGTAAATGATTGAGGAAATCCTAAGTTGGCAAGCAAATCTACATAAGCATCCATCCTAACACTCGATAAAACTTGTTTCTTTATAAGAATGAAGCGGCCAGATTGCACACTTCAGATTGATTTCATCATCAGCCATCCATATCAACTTCCTTACTTTAATCATAACTCGGTATAGTCACAAAAAGGAATTTTGGGCGAACATAACATAAAATGACCTATAAGCTATTAAAAATACAAAATAATAGGTCATAGGTTCGCTACTCCTGAGGTGGAAATAAATTTATAAGAGCAAAATAGTTGTTCAAATAACCTCAAGGACTGCGTAAAGGCTACAAGATGAGCACTAACCTACAAATAGTAGAAACTGAAGACTTAACTAAATCTTCGAAATTAAGTAAAGCCAACAAAACATTACGAAGAAGTTAAAGCATTAGAGACGAGAAAAACCTACCGGTAGATCAGAATTCTTGGAATACTTCAGTCGAGGTGGTGAATGATTCTGTAACAAAAAGCATGGAGTGAATTAGTAAATTCATTAAGAATCTCGAATCATGTATATTATTCAATTACAGCTTCAACATTAGTAGTTCTGTGCAGTTCTTTCGGCGTATTTGGTTTTCCTTGAATTTGAGCAAATATGGGTGGTAACTACGAAAAAATACGAATTACAAAGCTTTGTTAAATGCAAATGAAGAAATGGTAGAATTTTAGACTCACTTGAATAGGTTTAAGTGGCGTTCTCTCAGGAGCCTCATTCAACTTATCTTGAGTCATAAGACCCTCCCAAAATTTCCGAAGAGATGACACGTGCTCATGATTCACAGTGGCTAAACTTTCCTAAAAGATAATTAGGTACATTATTTATGGTAATAGACTACGAAACTCACTCTCAATCTAGAGCGCTTAGGTGTGGTTCCAAATTTGTTTTCATCGGTACTGGATGCTTGCGATTGATTAAAGCGCTGTCTTGAATGCCAAAGGTCATCTTCCCATTGACGGATCTAGGGGAAGATTAATAATCGAATAGAGCTTACTTCGGCAACCAGGGCTTTATATTTATCCCTTGACACATATGCGGCAACCTTTGCGTTTTCGCTAAAAACAAATGTAATAAAAAATGAGTTTTTTAATATTCAATTACAAAGAAGTAAGGAAAAATACTAGAACGAGTTATATCAAACAATTAAAATGGTCAATAAGCAATAATGGGAGAATATTTGAATATTTTAGATCTCAACAATTACAACAAGACCAATTTATTACTAGGTAAATACAAATTATAAATACGTTAAAAGTTACCTATTTTGATCGCCTTGTGATATATCCATTAACGCAAAGGTAAAATCACACAAACTTTCAAAGGAAATTGCCCGCCAGTCACAAAATTGTGTTTTCTCGACTCTTTAAATAATGTCATAATGTATTTGAAAATAATGATATAGTCTTATTTCCTTCGACTTTAACATTATTTAATTCCCTAAATTAAAAAAACACATATGAGCTTCATTTTATCAAAATCGTTTTTATTTATGAAATTTATGTTCATAATATTCCTACATATTTAAACGGGCGTTATATGCCTCGATGCATTTGAAATCCTATTGAATATCTGTTGAATGTCAAAACTATATAAATTTGTTAATTTGCCAAATACACTAGCTAATTTTTAGTAATCAACTTAATTGAGGTAATATTTGTAAACTAAACCACATTTATGCAGACATGCTGAAGTTTTTACATAAATTTCCTTGAAATGTTTTCTCAAGCAGCTGAGACTTGATCATTTTGATGGAAATAGGTTTTTGCAAAAGCTATTTGAGTGCGTCGATATAGCACATTACATAAGTAGAAAGTGCTCAACCTCCACAACCACAATATTTAGTCGTAGACACTACTCACTAAGTATCCGACTCCTTTTTAGCACGACCAAAAACCATAAAGTTGGAGCATATCTGTTGCTTTTACTTTGGCCATTTTCTAATTATTATAGGTGTGTCATTTTATGTACCCACACGAATCAATTAAGTAAAACATTCCATTACTAAATCTCAGAAACCATTATCATTATAGAGGATCGATACATTCTGTACACTAATGCAAATACAATTTATCAAATTTTCTACAGATTGAAGGTAGGGATGCAATCATTTCTTCTTCTTCGTTGCCTTTTTTGCCAGCTTTTCTTCTTCCTGTTTTTCCTCAACCATCTTGAGGAATTTCTGATCTCGATGATCCACATAATAACCAAATTTGTCTCGAGCCTATAATAAAGAGAAAAATTAACTTTGTCAAAATTCGGAAAGTAATGCGTAAGTCACTGGCTCAAAATACGAAGAAACGGGTTCATAAATAACAGTAGGTGACAGCAAAGCTGATTCTCTGTTAAAATTCATCAATAAAAACACTAGAAAATAATTATCAAGAAACAGGTGTATTATGGGGATTTCTAATTTAACTTCTAAAAGGCCTATGAAAATGAACTGGGATGATGCTAATTGGATGAATTAATCTGAGTAGTTAACCCAAAGACGCGCTCAAGGGAAGGGATGCCGAAGATAGTTCCCCTATTGCTAAGATATTCCAATTCCCACATAAACAAAATGGTAAAACAATCCCATTTTCGGTCATCTTATAAATTAATCTCAGTTTATATCAATTCAATTGATAGAATCAAAAGAAACACTGGCTGCAATCTCTCTCTCTCTTTCTTTCTTTACTGAAGTTGGACTGGACATAAAATCTGAGTTCTCATTTAGACAAGTATGGAAATTCAAATAATAAATTAAGATAATAAGGCTTTTGAAGCACATTTAAATCGAAAAAATGTAGGGTTTTGAGTGGAAAGGATAAAAAGTAACAACTATTCTTTTTGGAGAAACACTGAAACGCTAATCGTCTTTTTTTGCTATCTAAATATCTAGAACCTGGTTATAAGATGCTTCTTGGAATCTGAACCCCGAATATGGTTGAACTAAGAGCTTCGACGGAACAACGTAGTCAATAATAACATACACTTTTGAAATAGGCTAAAATATCAGGACTGAAATCGTGATTTTCTATGCTCCTTAATTAGTAAGTGGGACATCGAGATCTGTAAAGAGTCATGTTCGCCATTAGCTTAATGATTTAGTGACTAGCTTCTAACAACACAAGCTAATAAAGCAGTGGTAGAATTCCCCCCTAAAAGCGATAATTCACACAGTGGCCATTAGTAATGACTTCGGAAAAAAATTAATAGAAGCTGCTAACTGCTAAACGGTAAGAAATTAGAGCTATTAATAAATAAAATCAAGGGATAATTTAGTTATGCAACATTTAAGCTGGTTAATAAATTTAAAAATTCGACAAAGGCATAGATGATAACTTACATCTTCAAGTAATTGTCGCCTCTTTTCATCCATGGCTTTAGCGGCTTCAAACTTTTTGGCCTGCGAAGCTTGATACTTCTTCATCATTTCTGGTAACCGTTCCAAATTTTCTTTAACTTTGCGGATTCTATGAAATACGGATTAAGTCAATAATTAAATACCGAGCAAATTTGAGCAAAGCTAAACCAATAAATTACCTTTCAGAATCAGCCTTGGCTTCCTCTTCAATTTCTTGTGCTCTAGTTCTCTTGAACTCCTCAACATCTGGTTCTATTAACTTCTTTAGTTTCTCCTCCCTTTCTAATTCTTCGTATGAATCAAACATTTCACAGGGGTTGACACCACTCTTCAGTCCATATATACCGAACAAACGACGTTGATAGAAGAGTGTTTTCTCATTATCGTGAAGAACAGGAACTGGAATGCGCTTATTTCTAGCGATTAGATTGTTGGGAAGTCGATTTATATCGAAGGCTTTTAGTTCACGAGGTACTATTTCAGTGGAAGCCCACTCAGAATCCCATTGCTCCTGAACAGAAGGATGGCCTTTACTCAGATTGTCATAGTCGTTGAGACTATGTGGATCCCACCAAACAGGGTGGAATTTTTTGCCTCTGATTTGACTGGAGAAAATTGGCAAAAGCTTCTTAGATGATAACTGAGCAAGATACATGAAACGAGGATACCCTAGTCAATGGAATTATTCAAGGCCGACGATCTTCTCACCAATTGGCTAAATCAAAGCCTTACATAAATTCGGCAAGCTTTCACCTTATATTAACCTTCACAGTCTTGGCAAACGGTTGTAAACAATAAATTTAAATTTACTTTGAAGCACCTATTTATTTCATTTTATTGTCATAGCTGATTGTTTTCTAATGATTTCTGGGTATTTTGCTTTGGTGATTCGCTTAGTTTGATATTATAAAGCGTATAATTTTTAAAACTTAATTGCTTTTCAAGGTTCGAAATATTTTTTACTCTAAATTTTCTCCATAGCTACATTTTAATAGCATTAAAAAACTCGAAATAATTATTTCATTCAATAACCAACCCCTTATATATATCATTCACTTTTTAAAAATGATATGAAATTATTAAACCTGGGTTATTTGGCAAAAATTTATTGACACGCTCCTTAATTATTAAATATTCTGAAATAAATTTGCCATTATTTCAGTTTTTGCTGTTATATATGGAAAATGAGGATCAAATATCTCAAAAAAAAGAATAAACTACTCTAGCTCTCAAATCTTGCTTAGCTGGAATTGTAGCTATCAATACTCTTCCGCCTAGTCGAAAGTTAACTATTTCTTAGTGACATTTCTAGTTTTTACAGCTACTTAAATATGTCGATCTACGTGATTGGAACCAAATTCGCTCTTATTATGGGAATTTCGTATTATACTCTATTTAACATACTAGCATTACGAGCACAAAATATCTGATTGTCACTTTTCGTCTTTGGTCAGATTCTTTTATTAAACTGTATTAAGACTTTCAGTAATTCTATCGCGTGGCTGAATTTCATGCCTTTGGTAGATTTTATATGTGCAACCTGGTGTGTACGATAGAGTTACCTCCACATGGTGCACCCTGGGCAACGTATATTCATACGACAAAAAAGTCTATTGACCGACAATTGACTTCTGACTTCAAACTGCCATCACCCCACAGTATACCATATTCGGACCCTACCGCAGTACTCATCTTACCTTTTCTCTGCTTTTGTGCCTGCCTGTCCGTCTCTTTTACATCTGTGAACCACTCTTCTCTTCCCCCCCCCCCTAGACTTTCTGTCACTTTGATATTCCTTCTCCCGCAGCGGGACACAATAGATCCGCTATTAAAGGAGAAATGGAGGCCATTAGGATAGCACTATGCCAATTATGTTGCCTGGATACGAAATTCACCAAAGCGGTGATACTTTCGGACTCACAGGCAGCAATAAACTCAATTGGAAACAGAGAGCCACCCAAAACAGCTGAGATAAAGGAATGTAAAAAACTCTGTGAGCTCCTGAGAGAGAAAAACAAAACAGTGGTCCTACAATGGATTCCTGGTCACTGTGGCATTAAAGGCAATGAGTTTTCTGACACACTTGCTAAGAAGGGGACAACGATTTTTTAAGGCATAGACCGGCCGCGATGTCTTTCCACACCATGAAGGCCTTAATCAGGAGAGAACTCAAGACCTCAAGGTGCAACGAAATTAAAGCTCGAACAAAGGAGAAACAGTGGACAGTGGCACTCTCCGACATACCCGACTGGCCAAGAATCGAAGCCGTTGCTGAGTTTAGACTACGTACCGGACACAATTTCTTGGCAAAATACATTCACAGATTGGGAATATACACTCAACCCACATGCCCCCTATGTAACCTACAGGAGGAAATGGAGAGGACCCATCTGATTCGGTGTCCAGCCCTAAAGACAACGACGGAAAGCCAGAGATACTGGAAAGCAAGAAGACAGCTAATGAACTGCTATTAATTAACTGCTATAAATGTACCCCCCACCTTTGTGGGAAGCTGAAGTCAAAGTTGAAGGGCTAATGATAAATATCATAAAGCCTGCCATTTGAAATAAATAAATTATATTCCTTCTCCCATCTTTGAAGCCCGAAATCAACTAAAGGACTAGTGATAACTATTAAAACGCCTGCCATTTGAAATAAATAAATGTGTACAACCTTTATCTTTTGCAAGTTAACACTTTCTACTTATATTTTAATAGTAGCTCTGATGAAATTGTTTCAAATCTGCGTAGCTTCAATTTTGCTCACTTATCCATAGATAAAAATTCCTACTTCCGCCCGTTCGCTTAAAAATACTTTTTCGAAGAAACGCCAGTAGTTTTGAGACATTCGTTCATAGAACTAACGCAGTGTGAAACCTTATCAGTCCTAGATGTGGCAGGTCCTTTTTTGTAAATAGTTGTTGAAGGTTGCAGGAATTTCATAAATCGTAGTTGTTCAGCTTCGGCTAATATAACCCGGAGAGATCCCTTTTAATGGTTTTCTCTAATCATTTTTATTCTTTAATCCATCTAAGACGTTTCATTTTTATTCAACTCATTTTGAGATGAGATTTAACTTTGTTTTCGACTTTACGTTCATTAAGGTCATTTATTTCCCAATTTGGTCGCATTAAAAATTATGTATATATTTCAAAATGTGGTACACAAATCATTTCTCAATAACCCTTTGCAGAGTTATATTTCTTTGTTGGTGTAGCATTTAAGTGCACTTAATTTACCAATCCTTTGTGAAACTCCAATCCCTATAGCAAATGGTAATAGGCCTATTGTAAGCACATGGTAAAGTCCGTATTCACGTTACTAGTCACATATCATTTGAGCCCACTTGAGGAGGGATTTTTACGCCTTCTTGGAAAGTCACAACGAGCGACTCTATAATTATGGGTGCAGGGTTGTAATTTCAACACAACTCCCTCCTTATCTCAACAAAAAATAGGTCGCTTAACTAACCACCCCTCGTAATTTGGCTGTTCCAACAACGCGCACACCTTCATTTGCACCAATCTCTATTCGGCTTATGGGCTTACTAACCCAAATGATCAAGAGACTTTTTCCAGAATTTTACTCTCCTATGCCCCAACCTCAACCTTTTAGATAAAGATTTTATGAATATATATATATATATACATCATTAAATATTAACATGCGAAATGTTGTGGATAAATCACCTAATTGGGTTAGTGAAGGAAGTGGTGTTTAAATACTGTGAATATATATATATATATATATATATATATATAGATTTGTCTCGATTTAATCGATAAGATGAACACGAAAAGGTGGAGAAAAATATGCTAAATATTGCTTGAGTTAGTAAGCATTTTTAAATGCGACAATATAAAATGTACATTTAATCTTTATTAAATAGACGATACTACCACGAATCAATGACTCCAAGTAATCGTTTTGTAGACCAAAAGCACTACTAAAGTTGCGGTTTTTGTTGTAATATAATTTAGTGATCAAAAGATAGATGAATCTCATTCGTTGGAATCTTGAGTGAGGACGTTTGAGGATCAGTGAAACAAACAAAATTTTTGTACAATGTTTTGCATAAAATAAAATGAGATTATTCTTTGGGTTTGACCAGAGGAACACAATGACTAACACCTTTTATGAGAACTGCATGACTACTCACTCAATTGACTCAAGTCTTCAATCAATTGTGAACCTAATGGATATGGATTTACAGAAATGTCATCTTTTGGATACGAAGAATTAACTGGTAGACTGCAAATCGCAGGTGAGCAAGACACTCAACGAGAGATTAACAGCAAAGCTTAATTCTGAAGGCATATCTCCACTTGAAAGGCTGCTCAACCTGTTAATGTTGGAGGTCATGTGGACTTCATTGTATCTCAACTTCAATTTCAACCACCAAAATCTTCTCCCTATATAAGGCATGGAATTCGGATCTTTCTTGATGACAGCAGTTGTTTATTAATTTCAAATGCCAGGCGTTTTAATAGCTATCATTAGCCATTTAGCTGACTTCGGGCTTCACAGAGGGAAGGTTCATCAAAGTAGAAGAAAGTCGAAGGGTGGGGAATAGAAGAGCGATTCACAGATGTAAAAGAGGCAGACAGACACAAAGGTAGAGAAAAAAGTAAGATGAGTACTGTGGAAGGGGTCGAATATGACAAGCAGTCGTGCCATGGTATTTTGAAGTCAGAAGTCAACTGCCGGTTAATTGACTTTTCTGCCGTATGAGTATACGTTGCCCAGGGTGCACCACGTGGAGGCACGTCTATCACACACCCCTGACAGTAGTTGTAATTATATGATATGGAAACTATGACTAAATAGATATAAACATCTCTAACCTTACTTAATCGTGCTATGGATGGTAATGGTGCAATATGAGTAGGTATTTTGGGTTTTATACGTCAAACTCTCCTACCTCTAGGTCCAAAGCCAAAAAAATGAATGATTTAATTTAATTTTCTTTGGAACTTTTCAACAGCAAAAAATGTCTCCACCATTACTAAGCAATCACTTTTGTTAGCAATACTAACATTTCAAGGAATTTTGGACTTTTCAACTCTGTTTCCAAGTAAGTAAGTTTTTATTTGAATAAACGAGGCAGTTTAGGTGAGAAATTGAAAATTTCAAATCGAGATGCTTTTGGCCGGAATTTTTGTCCTCTTTTGCAGTACCTATAAAAAAATAATAAGTTGTAGGAAGAAATGCCGATAAAGTGTTAAAAAAAGTTGTCCTTTAATTAATAAACAGTTCAATTTTAATTATCGTTCAATTAAAAATTAGGGAAAACCTAAGGATAAATGACTGAAGCATTTCATTTCACAATCAAATTTGCGAAAGTGCAAAGCCCTTGACGTTGAAGCGAACCACACTAAGAATGTAAACTAATTATGATGCAACAATAGCTTCACCATCTACAAGACGATATTCCAGCAGGAAATTGGGAAAACCCAATTTCTCCATGACACAGCGGAAATTTATTACGATCTAACTCAAACATATTAATTTCTCCAAAGTAACTATTCATCAAGGGGTGTGCGATAGACTTACCTCCACGTGGTGCACCCTGGGCAACGTATACTCATACGGCAAAAAAGTCTATTAACTGGCAGTTGACTTCAAACTACCATGACCCCACTGTATGTCATATTCC